GCACGCGCCACCATGCCCAGCTAATGTTTTGTATTTTTAGTAGAGACAGGGTTTCACCATGTTGACCAGGATGGTCTCGAGCTCTTGACCTCGTGATCCACCTGCCTCGGCCTTCAAAGTGCTTGGATTACATTGAGCCACCGCGCCCAGTGATTTCCCCTTTTTTTAAACTGCTCCAATTTTCCCCACCTTACCCATCCCATGTCATCTTCCCTCTGTGTGGCCCTTGCTTCCCATTCTAGCTCACTGTTATCCCTCCCCCATACTACTGGAGCCCTCAGCCCTCTGAGCTTTTCTTATATGTCACACAGACCTAATAATTAGAACTGTTGAGTCTCTGGCTAGACTGAGCTCCTTGTAAGTGCGGAAGATGTCATGTCTGCTTTTACCCTCCACCCAAATGCCCAGCGCAGGACTGAGCATGCAGGATCAGGATTGGAACAAGTGTTGACCTCTCACGTTTACTTTGTTTCAGAATCGGGGGGTTCTATGCTCTTTCCCCATACCCCGGCCTCCGCCTCATCTCTCTCAATATGAATTTTTGTTCCCGTGAGAATTTCTGGCTCTTGATCAACTCCACGGATCCCGCAGGACAGCTCCAGTGGCTGGTTGGGGAGCTTCAGGCTGCTGAGGATCGAGGAGACAAAGTGAGAGGGAGTGGTGGGAACACGGTGGTGCTGGGGGACAAGTAGGCTCCTGTTGAGCTGGAGCCCCTCTGGGCAGAGAAGTTTGATTTTCCTGACATTCCAACACAACAACAGTGTTCCTGACACAACAACAGTGTCCCCTGGGAGTTCGGTTCACGGTCATGGTTGAAAGCCTTCATTCAGTTCCCCTCTCTCTAGCCAGGGTTGTCTGGACCCCTTCGAGCCCTGATTACCATCTTTAACTCTCCCTACTAGGTGCATATAATTGGCCACATTCCCCCAGGGCATTGTCTGAAGAGCTGGAGCTGGAATTATTACCGAATTATAGCCAGGTAGGAGGGAGATGAGGGTGGGACTGGGGACAGGGTTTCTGAAGGCTGAAAATTCCCTTGGGCATCTTACCATCTCTGCTGTCCCATGACGTGGGGAGCCTCCTCAACTGAGCAGGTTGGAGAAAAAGGGCATACTGTCTCCCCAGATCTCTTCCTACCCCATCCTAGAATCTTTTGAATGTAGTGTCTTCTGGCCAGGTATGAGAACACCCTGGCTGGTCAGTTCTTTGGCCACACTCATGTGGATGAATTTGAGGTGTTCTATGATGAAGAGACTCTGAGCCGGCCTCTGGCTGTAGCCTTCTTGGCACCCAGTGCAACTACCTACATCGGCCTTAATCCTGGTGAGTGAGGAAGAAGGGAGCCTCCCTTATCTTAGAGTTGGTGGGACAGAGAAAGGAGGTTGGAGCTGGAGGCTGCAATGTGTGGGCAGGATGTGTAGCCCCTTCCTGGAGCTGCCCTTGCTCCTGTCCCCTCCAGTCAAACCTGCTTCCTTGCAGGTTACCGTGTGTACCAAATAGATGGAAACTACTCTGGGAGCTCTCACGTGGTCCTGGACCATGAGACCTACATCCTCAATCTGACCCAGGCAAATGTACCTGGAGCTATGCCGCACTGGCAGCTTCTCTACAGGGCTCGAGAAACCTATGGGCTGCTCAACGCACTGCCTGAGGCCTGGCACAACCTGGTATATCGCATGCGGGGCGACATGCAACTCTTCCAGACCTTCTGGTTTCTCTACCATAAGGGCCACCCGCCCTCGGAGCCCTGTGGCACGCCCTGCCGTCTGGCTACTCTTTGTGCCCAGCTCTCTGGCCGTGCTGACAGCCCTGCTCTGTGCCGCCACCTGGTGCCAGGTGGGAGCCTCCCAGAGGCCCAGGGCCTGTGGCCAAGGCCATTGTTTTGCTAGGGCCCCAGGGCCCACAGTTGGGAAAGTTCTTGATGCAGGAAAGGATGAAAAAGCCCAATTGCTGCTGTGGTTCAACCAGGCAAGATCATCCAGTGGAAGAACCAGTCCCTGGGCCCCAAGGATGCTGGAGAAACAGGACCTTCTCCTTTCCTGGAGCTGGTTTAGCTGGATATGGGAGGGGGTTTGGCTGCCTGTGCCCAGGATCTAGACTGCCTTGAGGCTGCTGTATGGTGGAGCAGAGGCCTAAATTGACAAGGCCCTGGGCAGATAAGACAGCTGAGCTGTCGCCCCAGGCATGTTCTGCTCAGCCAGGAACCCTGTACTGCTGGTGCGACCTAATCCCGCCAGTCTGTCAAAATAAAGATAAGAGTAGCTGGGTGTGGTGGCGGACGCCTGTAATCCTAGCTGCTTGGGAGGCTGAGGCAGAGAGCTGCTTGAACCTGGGAGGCTGAGGTTGCAGTAGGCTGGGATCCCACCACTGCACTCCAGCCTGGGCAACAAAGAGACTCCATCTCAAAAAAAAAAGAAGTAAATAAAATAAAGAAATAAAGAAAGATAAGAGACTTGGACTCCAGACCCCTGTGTGACTGTCCCAATTTCTTCTTTCCAAGCAAGCAGGGCAAGGAGACCTTTGGAGCAAGATCATAACTGAGGCACAGTTGGGCGCTGTGGCTCACGCCTGTAATCCCAACACTTTGGGAGGCCGAGGTGGGAGGATCACTTGAGGTCGGGAGTTCAAGACCAGCCTGGCCAACATGGAGAAACCCCATCTCTAGTAAAAAATACAAAATTAGCTGGCATGGTAGTGGATGCTTGTAATCCTAGCTACTCAGGAGGCTGAGACGGGAGAATCACTTGAACCCAGGAGGTGGAGTTTGCGGTGAGCTGAGATTGTGCCATTGCACTCCAGCCTAGGCAACAAGAGTGAAACTCCTGTCTCAAAAAAATAAATAAATGAGGCACAGGGTAATGGGGTTGATGGCGTGATATAGGTATAAGAAGCCACACAGCAGTGCAGACAGACTTTATTAGTGATATCAATACAGCAGAGGTGCCCATGGAGCAGGGGGAAGGGACCCATGCCTGGACCAGTCCCTTCCTCCTCCTGCCCCTGCTGGGTCCTAGGAGGATAAGGCCTGGCCTGGACCAGTTCCTCCTGTTCCACCTGAAACACATGGGGATGGAGAGCCAGGGCTGGCCTTGCTTCCTGCTCCTCTTATCACTCCAGTGTTATCGCTTCCTTGAAGGGATTAGATCTCTCCCTCCCCAGCTCCTAGGCAGGGAACCCTAGCTATTGGGGAGGGGCATATTTGGGAGGTCTGAGGCCTAGGAATAGCCTCTAGACCCCTCCCTAACCCACACCCTTTAGTTCCCTGGGGCCCAACACAAGCAGGTGGAGGGAAGGTGGGAGCTTCTTCATGGGGTATGAGCCCCCAGCCGTTTGGGCTTCAGGGATCCCCACAGCGACTGAACACCCCTGCGGACAGTCCACCCTACACGCCGTGCCACAGACTCAGCAGGGGGTGCTGGGAGGCAGGAGGTGGAGGCCTGGGAACGGGCATCCAGACACTTCTGGTAGCGAAGCTGCAGAGGCAAGCAGGGCAGTCACTCTCCATCCAGCCTGCCTCACGTGGGGCCACGCCACCACCCCGCCACCCTAACCGCTTACCATGCACGCAGCCTGCACAGCCTCTGAGAGGCTGGCAGCATTGGGCTCGCACCAGAACATGTGGCAGCAGAAGGAGGCTGGGCCAGCAGCCATGATGAATGCGAACGTGTGGACATCTCTGCCCACGGCCAGGAAGGAAAGGAAACGCACCCGACACTCTCCCAGCACTGCCTCTGTCTGCAGTGAGGGAACTCAGTTAAAAAGGAACACCACCCGCACTGTTCCACATCCATCTTAGCGGCAGCTCTTCCCCTCACCCCCAGTCTTCCCTCCATGGCAAGGCACAACCATGACTTCTACCTCAGTTCTTTACCTGCTGGTGCAAGATGGTGAGGGTAGCAGGGGCCACACTGACATGACTTGGGGTCCACTGTTCACGGCTGCTGGAGGACAGGACTGACTCGAGGGCCCCATTAATCACATCTACCCCTAGAACATATGGACACAAGACACCACTGAGGGTAGAGAGAGGATACCCCAGCTCTACCCTAGGCCTTTAGCTCCACCCAATCAAACCCAGGGCTTTTGCCCCATCCCCACTTCACCAGCCTACAGCTTGGACAGTGCTGTCCAAGTATCCCTTCCCTGGGCCCTGGGGCTCTCCTCCCCTGGCTTTGGTGACTGGACATTTTCCTACTTTTTAAGATCTTGAATCCTAGGCTCGTTATCTTCACTGGCTCTGCCTATTCCTCCACCCTTCTGAACTGACTAACCTCCCAAAGTTCTGACTTCCTCAAATCTTGCTCTCGCAGTGCTCATCCCACTCAGATACCACATTGCTTCACACAATAACTCCCAAATCAGTCCCTACAGGCCAGTCCTCTCCCAAGAGCCAATATTTTTTTAAGATATCCATTTTGAGAAGTGATTACTCGGTATCACAGTGTGTTAAGTCATTACAGTGTATTACCTTATTTGTGCCCACACAACACAACTTCACAATAGATAACTTTTTCTTTTTTTTTTTCTGAGACAGAGTCTCACCCTGTCACCCAGGCTGGAGTGCAATGGTGCTGTCTCAGCTGACTGCAACCTCTGCCTCCCAGCTTCAAACAATTCTCCTGCCTCAGCCTCTTGAGTAGCTGAGATTACAGGTGCCCACCACCACGCCCACATAATTTTTGTAGTTTTGGTAGAGACGGGGTTTCACCATGCTGGCCAGGCTGGTCTCAAACTCCTGACCTTGTGATCCCCCCGCCTTGGCCTCCCAAAGTGTTAGGATTAAAGTGTGAGCCACCGCGCCTGGCCCTACTTTATTTCCATTTTACAAATAAGAAAACTGAAGAGATAGGCCAGGCGCGGTGGCTCACGCCTGTAATCCTAGCACTTTGGGAGATCGAGGTGGGTGGATCACCTGAGGTCAGGAGTTCAAGACCAGCCTGGCCATCATGGAGAAACCCCATTAAAAAAAAAAAGAAGAAGAAAGAAAGAAAACTGAAGAGATAGGTAATATGCCTTAGGTCCCATTGAGGAATGGGGACCTGAGTTCAGGAAATCTGATTCCAGAGCCTGGGTTCTTAGCCATGCCTTTCTCCTACCTCTTCTCTGTATTACCAGTTTTCAGAACTAGAAGGGCTTTCAAGATCTTAGTTCTACTCAAGAATGTCTACAACATACTCAAAGGCCAAGGAACCTAAGGTTCCTGACTTTTAGATCAATCAACTTTCTCTCATAACGCATGGTCTCCTCCACCTCAAACCATAAACATTTCCCCTCATGGATTCCACTTTTGCTTGCACTCAGCAGAGCACCAAGGCAGGAGCACATGGTGTGGCAAAGGCATCAGTTTTAGTCCCCACACTCGTAAGCTGGCTGTGTGAGCTACTGTCTCTGCGCAATGCCAGTGCAAAAGGCACATGCCTCTGTGGTCCACTCCCAGACCCTCTGCCCCTTTTAGTGCCTCTCAGCTCCCACTAGGAGCAGACCATATGGACTCTTTGTGGGCAGAGAGTCCACAAAGAGTGGACTTCTTTGAATGCCTTCTCCCACCTTGGCCTTGCTCATCTTTCTTCTGGCTGGATCATGGCCAAACTGCTCCCAAAAGGATGCAAGTCTTCCAAAAACTGGCCTCACCGGAGCTGTCAAGCCTCATATTTTACTGCTCCCTGAGCTTCAAATGATTTGTGTAGCATTATTATTAACAATTAATCCTGGCAAATGGCCTGTAAGGCAGATGGGGAATGCAAAGCAAGAGAAGAGAATGCCCTTGAGGGACGCAGACTGCAACTGAAGGAAAAGCCTCTGTCTCGAGTGCCCTTTCCCTGCTGGACTGAGAAACTCCAGATTGTCATCCTTCAGGTCTCCACCTAGGTAGCCATCCCTGCTGCAGGGCAGGGAGAGGACAACTTTGACATAACTCTTACACAACACCTTGTAACTCCTGGAAAACTTTTTTTCACACTGGGCTGTGGCCATCTTAAGAACAGAAATGGGAATTTAATTCATCCCTTTGTCCCCAGTTCTAACACAGGGCTTATCTGCTGAAGAAATTCCAGATGCATGAGCAAGTCACTCTCAAAGCAGCATGGGCAAATGCACCCAAACTGGTAGAACCAAGTGTCACAGAAGTGGATAGGCCAGGCCAGATTGCAGAGTGCTTCAAAAGCCAGGTAGAGGGGTGTGATGTTTACAACATTTAGGCCAGGGCAACTGGAAATCTCAAAGTTCAGGTGTGTGAAAGGGACATCAGCGTCAAACTGCTGAATAGATGGGGTGGAGCCTGGCCTCAGAGTTTTGGGAGGTTTGGCAGGGAAGTGGCGAAAGCAGTGAAAGCAGTGGAGCAAAGTCTGGAAAATGGCTGTCAGATTTGATGACAACTCAGGACCGAAACCTACACCTTGACCTCCAGCCCCAAACACAATCTTCCTTATCCTGCTGTGCTTTTCTTTTCTTTTCCCTATTTTTTTTTTTTTTCTGAGATGGAGTCTTGCTCTGTTACCCAGGCTGGAGTGCAATGGTGCAATCTCAGCTCACTGCAACCTCCAGCTCCGGGTTCAAGCGATTCTCCTGCCTCAGCCTCCCAAGTAGCTGGGATTACAGGTGCCCACCACCATGCCTGGCTAATTTTTGTATTTTTTAGTACAGTCAGGGTTTCACCATGTTGGTCAGGCTGGTCTCGAACTCCTGATCTCAGGTGATCTACCTGCCTCGGCTTCCCAAAGTGCTGGGATTACATGCATGAGCCACTGCACCCAGGCTCAGTTGTTGCCTTCTGACATACTCCACAGTGTACTCATTTTATTGTCTGTCTCTCCTTGTTAGAATGTAAGCTACATAAAGGTGGGATCTTTTTGTTTGTTTGTTTTTGTTTTTTTAATTTATTTTTATTTATTTATTTTTAAAGATGGGGTTTCACCATGATGGCCAGGCTGGTCTTGAACTCCTGACCTCAGGTGATCCACCCACCTCGGCCTCCCAAAGTGCTAGGATTACAGGCGTGAGCCACTGTGCCCGGCCGAAGGTGGGATCTTTGTCAGTCTTGTTCATTAATGCATGCCAAGAAGCTAGAATAGTACCTGACATGTATCAGGCACACAATCCCACTTGTTGAATGAACGAATGATTAATGAATGAATACTGCAGCTTCTGGAGGGGCTAATATTAAAAAGGGAGATTACAAAAGGAGCATAAAATGAAGCAGGAAGTAAGTTTAGAGACCACTTGTCCAAAAGTGCGAAGCTGATGGGGCAGTCAAGGGTCACAGGCAGCTGATCTGGCATAGTGAGGATATGAGTGAAGAGGTAGATGGGGGGCCGGGCGCGGTGGCTCAAGCCTGTAATCCCAGCACTTTGGGAGGCCGAGGCGGGTGGATCACGAGGTCAAGAGCTCGAGACCATCCTGGTCAACATGGTGAAACCCCGTCTCTACTAAAAACTACAAAAAATTAGCTGGGCATGGTGGCGCGTGCCTGTAATCCCAGCTACTCAGGAGGCTGAGGCAGGAGAATTGCCTGAACCCAGGAGGCGGAGGTTGCGGTGAGCCGAGATCGCGCCATTGCACTCCAGCCTGCCTAACAAGAGCGAAACTCCGTCTCAAAAAAAATAAAATAAAAAAGAGGTAGACGGAAAGGAGCACATATGGGAATGGGGGTAACAACTGGAAGAGCCAAGAAGGGCTTAGAAATTGAGGATGAAAAGGAGGAAGGCAAAGGCGCAGGGTCAGCATGCTTTTCTCACCTCCAGTTCCAAGTCTTTGGCCATACCGTTGAATCCAAATAAAATACACACTCCTCTCTGCAAATTCAAGCCTTCTTTCAAAACCTCAGTTCAATCCCCACCTTTTCTAACAAGGATCCCCTCTTTCAATGTAAGATTTTGGACATGAAAGTCAGCACGATATGAGGGAAAGCGCAGAGAATTAAAGATGACCGGGGTTTGACTCCTAGGTCTACCTTTCCTGGCCATGTAATCAGAAGCAAGTCCCATTTATTCATTAATTCACTCTTTTAAATTCATTCATCGAACATTTGTTGAGTTCTTACTATGTGTCTTTTGACATAATGCCAGGCCACTTCTTCTGGTAGCCTCTTTTCTTCTTCCCGCCTCTCTGCTGTTGTCACTATCCTTGGCAGTTTCTTTCTCCACCCATCCATTGAATGTTGGAGGGCATCAAGGCTATGGCTAGCCTTATTCCCTCTCGCTCCAGGATGCCCACTTTTCAGGGTCAAGCTACTCTACATCCATGGCTTTGATTACCTCTACAACCCAATAATGCCAAAACTTCTATCTCCAGCTCAGACCTCTCCTCTCAGCTCCAGATCTGTGAATCCAGCTGCCAACCTGACTTTGCCTCTCAGTTTCCCAAAGGCACCTCAAATTCAGCATGTCCAAAAGTGAGCTCACAAGCTCCACACTCAATTTGGCCTCTTCTAGCATCTGCCACCTTGAAAGAAAGAATCCACTATCCAGAAGGTCCAAAAGCCAGGAACCCAGGAGTCACCCTTAATGCCTCTGTCCCTCACCCACACTGAAACAATTGCCAAGGCCTGTTGACTATACCTGTCTAAACAGCTCTTGAACCCATGCACTCCTCTTCAGCTCCACTGTTGTCCAAGATACTCTCATTACTGGCCAGGACTACTGGAAAAGCTTCCTAACCAAGCTGCTCACATTCACCTCCACCCGATTAACATTCCCCTCCATGAAATAGCCAAAGGGAGCTTTCAAAATTCAAATCTGATTAAGCCAAGTGCACCCTTGGAGAGTTCAATAGCTCCCTGCTGGTCTTAGGATGAAGAAAAAAATCATTAACGTAGCCCGAGGTCCCTGACCTGGCAGCCTGACCGCTGCCCAGCTCTCAGCCTCATCTTGCACTGACCTTCTCTCAGTACTTCTGAAGTGCCAAAGCACCTCCCACTGTGGACACTCATCTTTTCCCGTCCCACTCCCACCTCCATTCCACTTGACCACATTCACTTCTATTCATTTTGTGGATTTCAGTTCAAATGTCACTTTCACAGGGAAGTCTTTTACGACCCCAGAAGAGCCGAAATTCCTCTATTATATCTTGCTACATTATCTTGGTGAATAACTCACACATTTATTTGTGTGATTATTTGATTAATTACTGTTTTTTTTTTCCTACCATAACCTTCTATAACTTCTATGAAAATGGGACTGTGGCCACTGTTCTCTCAGTGCCTAGTCCAGGGCCTGCCACATGGTAAGCTTCAAAGATACTTGTTAACTGAATGAACAAATAAATAACAGACACTATAAAAGCACTGAGTTAAGAGTTAAGCAGATCAGGCCGGGTACAGTGGCTCACGCCTGTAATCCCAGCACTCTCGGAGGCTGAGGTGGGTGGATCACTTGAGGTCAGGAGTTCAAGACCAGCCTGGCCTACACAGTGAAACTCCATCTCCACTAAACACACAAAAATTAGCCAGGTGTGGTGGCGGGAGCCTGTAATCCCAGATACTCAGGAGGCTGAGGCAGGAGAATTGCTTGAACCCGGGAGACGGAGGCTGCAGTGAGCTGAGATTGTGCCACAGCACTCCAGCCTGGGGGACACAGTGAGACCCTGTTTTCTTGTTTTTAAAGAACTTTGCAACAATAAAGTATGTGACAATTATGCTCGCTGCTTCCTTCTCCAGATGCTCCCGGCCCACAGCTGGCACTGTAATACTAAACCCAGCTACAGGCTGCTGCCTGGTGTCTCCAGTTACCTAACATCTGCCTCCCAATCCAACCAAAGCTTTTCCATGGGATGCAGGAGTGGGGTCTCCCTCTGTGCCTGGTTTGGCACAGCTCAGGTGACTGATGCTCAGCAAAGGAGTGCTGACTGCTACTACAGGCAGCACAGGGAGGTGGGATGCATTTTAAACGGTAGGAAGATACCAAGCATGAGGAAGGTTCTGGTAGAGGAAGTGCTAGAAGGCACAGGGTAGGGGCAGAGCTTTGGGATCAAGGTAGCAGCCCCTAGGTATAGAAGGACACACATACCAACAGGTTTAGCAACAGGTACATTCCCCAGGTAATAGACTTGGAACTTCTGGACCAACTCATTCTTAGGCGCTGGGAATTCCACTATGGGAAAGAAGAGGAGGTTGATCATGGTGGCAGACCTTGCTCACCCCCAGTTCCCACCAGCAGGGCATAAGCTGGGCACTTGCCCAGCCAAGGCCCTACTTTCATCTTGTCCCCTCCCTCCAGTTAAAGGGAAGCAGGGGACAAGATGAAAGTAGCAGCAGCGTGGCTCCACTTATTGGAGTATTCAGTCTTCATGTGTTCATTTTTCTATCAGGGCTGTCCAGGAGCTCATGCCTTTCCTTGGGTCTCCCGCCTTTGCCAACAAAGCAGAGCTGGACCTGGAGGGGTTTTGACACTAACCTTGGAAAGGGACATCCACAAGTTTAGAGTGGTCCAGGGACAGTCCATTTACCAAGCAGCGGGCATTACGCCGTTCGGCCATGATCTGAGGAAGGAAGAGAGGTGAGGAGCCAGGGAGAATTTGTAAGAGCCTCGTTGCCCTGGGGCCCCCCCAACCCCACTCAGTGACCCCACCCACACCCTTGTAGAGCAAAGGTGGCAGCTAGTCCAGGGAGTGGAGGGGGCCGTGCCTTAGAGCAGATCTCATGCAGGCTTGTGGCGATGTTCTTGGCGGGTGCCTCACAGCGGAACACGTGGCACTTGAGCATCTGGGTCAGCTTATCACGAGCTACGTAGGCAAAGTCCCTGTTGGGGGAGGGGCACCTCAGTGTCTCCCAGTGCCAGCCAGTGCTGAGCCTGGTCCCCTCCCCACCCACGTCCTCCCTGCCCGTCACAGCTCCTCCAGGCCTTCTGCCCGCAGCTGGTCCCCCGTAGGTGCTGCCTTCTAGAGGGAGGGTAGACAGGCAAGCATGCTGAGGTGGAGGGTAATGGTGGAGCATAGCGGGTAGGAAGGGGCAGGGCACAAGAAGGGAGCTTGGGCACTTCCAGGCATCTGGTCCAGGTGTAGAAGGGGGAAAATAAGCATAGTACCTCTCTCTGGGTCCAGCAGCACAAGAAAGGCAAAGAACAGAGTTAGAGAGAGGACTCTGATGCCGGATGGACTCCCACCCTGGAATCCCAGGGCCTGTTCCCACCTTCCACTGTCCCGCCCGACGCCCCACACGCGGATGCTGATGATGGGCTGGGCGTGCAGCAGTGCCTGGCTCTGTGGCTCCACTAGCTTTAGCGTCTCGTCCTCCAGCTGTAGTAGCAGATCCTTTCCCTGCAGGCCCAGAAGCAGGCACTCAGTGGGACTCCAGCTGGAATGGTGGCTGATCTCTGCCCCCTGCAGCTCAGGGGATGTTAGCTATAGCTCTGGGGCCCCTGCTTTGGTGTCAGACCACCCACCCAGCTGGCCTCACTCTAGTGGAGGTCACTTGTCATCTCTCACATGGACTCCACTGTTGTTAGGCTACTATCTCCCAAGGTCCCAGCCACAGGGTTGCCACTTAGGGTGAGCCAATATCCTCCTTCCTTTCCCACCCCGCTGTGGGCAGGTCAGATCTCCCATCTCTCACAATTTCCTTCACACTCCCACAGCACCACCCACCACTGGCTCAGGTCCTTACTTCCCCCCAGCCCCCAGACATGGGGTCATGCAGGTTGTTTTTGTGGTAAGAGAGCTGACGGATGCAATTGTTGACTGCCACACTGCTGCGTCCAGGGGCCAGCTCCTCCTCGGTCATCTCTACCCAGCCTAAGGAGCGCACGGCGAAACACTGCCAGACACAGAAGAGGGGCAGGAGGTAGAGGATCTAGGTCAAACTGGAGAGCCCCCAGCACAGGACACAGCAGAGTTCCTGACCCAGAGCGTGGCAGGAGGCAGGGTGTTCTGAACAGAGACGGAGAAGTTCCCCAAACAGCATATGGTTAGGGAGAGGGAGATATCAGATGAGACCCCAGCTAGTACAAAACAGCACCTGAACCAAGACTATGAGGGCCCCCAACCGGGCTATTGGGCTGGTTGATTTAAAAATTGAAGTGCTTCCAGCTCAGACACAGGGCTCTGTGCTGACACTGGAAGAACTCCTAACTCAAGACCTGGGGAGCTGTGCTGAGACCCCTCAGAGCACAACATGAGGGGCTGTCCCACACACTGAAGGGCCTGACCTTAGAATGGGTGTCAGTCTTGAACAAACCTTGATCCCTGGGTTGGTATTCCGTGGGGGAAGCTTCTCCTCCTCTTGGGGCAATGGCTCTGGGCTGAAGGCAGATGGTAACACTTAGCACAGTGCCCCCATAAATGGAGCTGTCCCAAGGCCCCTTCCAGACAGAACCATTCCACTGCCAGCCCACTGCATCTGGCGGCTCACCTGAGGCTCTGAGCTGGGAAGGTCAATGTCCCCTCTTCAGGTTCCTTCAGTCCCAGCTCCCTTGGGGCCTCATCACTGGGTTCATCCTTGGGAAGGGGATTGAGGAATCAGGATCAAAATGATGCCCCTTCTCCAGTTATCGCCTGGTAAAGCAGGTCCCCTTACCCACCTTCCAAAACTCTCCATCCTCAAAGCCTTCTCCGTGAGTAAAACCCGTCCAGGTGAGCTAGGAGGAGGGATGGGAGCGGTAAGTGGGTATCTCATCCTACTCTGGCAACACACACTCCCTCCACCCCTGGCCCAAAACCAACAGGCCTGTGAGCCTCACCTGGGACTCCTCTTGGGGACTGCTCCCCTGTGAGGGGGAGGCCCGGCCGGGGGGTTCCCACTGGGTGGTCCCTGTCGGGATGTGCCAGTAATAGGTCCCTGAGGTGTCCTGGACCCTCATCCATCCAGCCGGCAGGTCGGAATCCGTCTCGAAGGCGTTGGGGTTCCAGAAGGAATCTGCCAGGCGGGAGGCTTGGTGAGGGTCAGCCTACCCAACAAGCAGACAGCCGATGCTTATGCCCAGTCCTCTCTGGGACCCCATGGTTGAGAAGGGGTGGAGGAAGAGCTATACCACAACACAGTTCCTGCTTCCTCCTAGAGCCTACAGTCTGGAGTCACCACATGTGGGGCCACCAGTAGGGAACATAGCTCAGGTCTCCTCCTGGGCCCTGCTAGTGGCTAATGTGGCCACACTGTGGAAAGGAGGAAGGCAGGGAGGAAAGAAGGAAGGGAGTAGGGGAGGTTGAGTGACCCCAATCAACCTCCTTTCACACATATCTGTATCTCTGTACACGAAGGTGAACACTTTCCAACTCCTGCACATATACATGTACACACAGACACACAACACAAGCAAGCCCTACCACATACCTGCGCAGCCGCAAACACCAGCATATGCAACACAGAAAATGCCAGCACAGACCGCAGGTATCACACACAGGTGCACATGTATGTGCAGGGGCAAACACACACACCAACCTTAGCCATACACTTAAGCAGACACCACAGAGGTGTGTGTGCATGCAGCTAAACATACCAGCCCCTGCCACACAGGTGTGCAGATACCACACCACAATGGCCCCTAACACACATGTGGGTACCACACATACAGGCAGACCCACACTCAGACACACAGCATACGTCAACCCCTGCCAAATGTGTGCAGACACCACAGAAGCTCACTCCCTGAACCTTGCCGCACAATTGCAGGCAAACATGACATGCACATACACACATACCTCGCATCTGTGTCACACACCCTTTCTGCCGGCAGAGCCACACCACTCCATTCCTCCCTGTAACCCGCTCATGCGTCCTCTAACTCTTCTCGCTCTTCCAGCCCCACCCCACATGATGCCCAGCCTCATGCTGCCCCTCACCTGGACTGCTGTCCTGCAGGATGATGGCCAGGAAAAAGTCCTGGGAGAACATGGCGCTCATTCCCGGCCCCTCCTGCCTCCACCCTCCCTCCTCACAGCCCCTCCAGCCCAGCCAGCTGGGCTCACAGCCTGGTGCCGGGCTGCAGAGAAAAGCTTATCCCACCCCCTTCTCACCAGGGCAGAGCGTCTGCCAGGCAAGATCCTCCCCCGCCTGGAGCTTGCTAGGGAGGGGCCAGGACCACCATGCTAGGGCATCTCCTTTGGGGGTGGGGAAGGGAGGAGAAAGGGAGGTTCATGAGACCCCAGCCCCTCTTGTTCACACCTCTTCTTCCTCAACCTGGCTCCCCTCCCCCAATCTTGAATCTCCATTCCACCCTTCGGTGGTCATCTCAGTGCCCAAGCCAAGCCCAGTGTTAGGAACACCAGGGGACTCAGCCTCTCAGGAATACCCCAGCTGCCTGGGGCCTTGTAGAGCCTATAGCTCTCAGCATAAATAGGGTGTGGTTTCAAGGCCTTCAGGGATCCAGCCCCTGTCTAGGACATGCACAGCCGCTTGAACCCAAGGGTGGGCTTTGAGGTCCTGGGCCCCGGCAGGCATGAGGCTGGGCTTGGGGCTTCCCAGCACCACCCCCCACCTCACCTGCCAGGGCCCAGCTAGGCTGCAGCGTCTCCTCGGCAACCGCAGCACCAGGACCGGCTGGGAGCGCCCAGACTGCTGACGTGCTTCCCGTTACCAGGGAAACCAGGAATCCTGACTGGTCCAAGAGGCAGCACTAAGGGACAGACTGTCCCAAGACCCCGGCTGCTGGGCAACCAGACACAGTGGGGCTGGGAGTGGGCGTGGTTACACTAAGGTGGCTGCACACCTGATGAGTTACTCAGGCAGGATGCTTCACCATCCTCAGCTTCCAAATGACGTGGGCCCACAGACATCCAAAGAGGAGGGGCTCTTGCCCATCCACCTTCTAGGCAGCCATCACCGCCTCTCCCCCGCCCCGACTTCCCCCCACCTCACACCCTACAGAATAAGGTTTGCAGCTAACCTAAAACTTAGCTGAGGCTCAGGGAATACCTGCTCTTCCCCAGAGACCCTCCATTGTCTCAGGACTCTCCTGCTAAAACCTTCCAGGAACACCACACCTACAGCCTCCATGCCCTCCAAAGCCACAGCCTGCTTCATGAGGGATGGACACTTCTGGAATCTGGGGACCAGTTTGCCATCTCCTGACTGAGTCACACACACCAATCCATCTGCCATCCCTGCCAGCCTGTGCCTTCCTGCTTCGAAGAGCTGCATCCTTCCGATCTGTCCTGGAAGGGCAGCTTCTCCCCCCTGGGCCATCTGGGAGGCCCTTCTGGAGCTTGGCACATCTCCCTCCAAGCACAGCCCACCCAGGCTTTTGCTTTCACACACATGCATTTATTCCAGAACACACACCTTCACTCCTGCATCAATTCATGCAGGCACTTACACATTAAATGGTCGTGTATCATTCCTTCATTCATTCATTCACTCACAAATGCCTTAGTGGCGAAACCAGGTGTACTCACTTGCTCAGGAATCAGTGATTGACTTAATGCTCTCCCCTTCTCTCCACCCCACATCACTAACATAGCCCAGGCTACTTGAATTTTTTTTAACCTGGATCATTGCAACAACATGGTAACTGGTCTTTCTTTTCCTGTCTAGTCTCCTCCAATCTCAGCTGCACACTACGGCCCAAATGATTCTACTGAGATACTAATCAAGTAATTTTCCAATTTAGTCCTCTTAATTGTTTTGTCACTGCCCTCAGGATGAAGTCCAAATTCCTCCCCAGGTTTTAGGTGCTGTCATGAACCTGTCTGCCTTTCAGCCTTATCTCTGGCCACTCCCCATCTCCCTTCTCTCTCTTTGCTTGGGACATGCCCCTTATCCTCTCCCAGCCCACCTCTATTTCTCTTAATCTTCACCTGGCTATCAGCTACTTCTCCTTCAGACATCAGTGTACAGGTACCTTCTCAAAACTAACCCGTTGCCCTTTCTGCCACCACTCACACAGGCAGGGTCAGGGGCCCCTCCTGTACTTCCCCAGCCCCAGAGAGCTCATCACACTGATCATAACAACCTGTTTCTTTCTTTGACTCCTTACCAGCTGTGAAGGCCATGAGAGTAAGAACATCTTTACCCCACAGTATACATTTCCAGCATTTAGGACAAGGCCTGGAGCAGAGTATGCATCCAATACAGGTAGTAAAGTTTACTCATTCATCATTCATTTAATTCATGAATTCATGCATTTATGCATTCAATCATAACTCTATGAATATCCTACAATAGGAAGGAGAAAATAATTTTTTCTCAATTCTATCCTCATTCCTGCAGGAAGACAAACCTTCTCTGCAGCCCTCATGGTCGCAGCAACACAGTCACAAAAGAGCAATCAGTGACTTAGCCCCTTTCCTGGGCTGGCCCCCACCTCTATCCTCAACTCACAAAGTCTCCACCAGTGCACGATCCTTGAGAATCCCCTTGCCATTCCAACATCCTTGCTGAGGTCACTGCCCAGCATGCCCGTCCCAGCTTTTCAGCAGTTCTGGCCTCCTACTCCTAGAAGCTTCATAGGTGGTTCATAGTTGCAGCCACCACAGTGACCATCCCAGGGGCGACTGAGCAACTAGGCCTCTATTTGGCCATTGACTCACACCCCCTAGGGTTGCAAACTTGCAACCTACAACCTGCAGACTGATGCAAGCCTCAGATAGATTGTGTGTGGCCTGCACAGTGTTTTTTAAAAAAACAGAATTAATTGGCTAGGCGCAGTGGCTCACGCCTGTAATCCTAGCACTCTGGGAGGCTGAGGCAGGCAAATCATGAAGTCAGAAGTTTGAGACCAGCTTGACCAGCATGGCGAAACCCCCGTCTCTACTAAAAATACAAAACTTAGCCGGGCATGGAGGTGTGCACCTGTAATCCCAGTTACTCAGGAAGCTGAGGTAGGAAAATCACTTGAACCTGGGAGGCGGAGGTTGCAATGAGCCAATTTTACACCTGGGGGACAGAGTGAGACTCCGTCTCAAAAAAAAAAAAACCAGAATTTGTTGACAACATTTAGAAATTGGGCTATTTTACACTAATATCTAGTTTTCAGTTTCCCTTTACCTGGCTGCATTCAAACTACATTTTTCCTCATCCTAATCCCAAAAGTAATCAGCTGGAGTGGAGGAGGGACTGTTCCTTTTCAAAGGAGGTGAGGCAATGACCACTAAAGGCCACTAACATCACAAAAAGAGAGGCAATCCGACTTTGCCTTTGGTAGAAGTACTTAATACCACCTATGAAATATTCTTGCAAAAGCAAAACACAAAAACACTCACATCTGAGTCTGATCAAGGCTCTAGAACTAACAACCAATTTACAGGAAATTCAGGGGAAGAGGAACATAGTAAATACAACCACAGGAGAGAGTCTGAAAATTCCAGATCATAGAAAACCCAGGACAAACAAATGTTTCTTCAGTTAAAAAACAAAAGCAAAACTGCAAGCAAATAAAATAGAGGGGTAACTGGATTAGGCCAAACACACTGGCTCATGCCTGTAAGCCTAGTGCTTTGGGAAGCCAAGGTAGGAGGATTGTTTGAGAACAGGAGTTCAAGACCAGCCTGGGCAACATAGTGAGACACTGTCTATACTTTAAAAAGAGAGAAAGAGAGAGAGAGACAGATCAACTATGTGCCTACTACTTGGATACTGATTCACACAATACAGGCTATTTATTTATTTATTTAGAGACAGAGTCTTACTCTGTCAACCAGGCTAGAGTGCAGTGGTGCCATTGCAGCTCACTGCAACCTCCAACTCCCAGGATCAAGCGATTTTCCTGCCTCAGCCTCCCCAGTAGCTGGGACTACAGGTGCACGCCACCACACCTGACTAATACCTTTCTCTCTCTTCTTTCTTTCCTTCCTTCTTTCCTTCCCTTCTTCTTTCCTCCCTTCCCCTTCCCCTTCCTTCCTTCCACCGCACCCAGCAATTTTTAAAGTTTTAGTAGAAACAGGGTTTCACCATGTTGCCCAGGGTGGTCTTGAACTACTGACCTCAGGTGATCCACCCACCTTGGCTTCCCAGGGTGCTGCAGGCACGAGCCACTGCACCCAGCCCAGAATGAATTTTTCGAAAGGGGATGGTGTGCAGCCCTAGGCTCATCTGAACTGCATGTTCTCTACAAAGATTGCACAGTTGGGGGATGGGTATGGCCTTGTGAGGATGGGGGTCTTTCCTAATCTTTCTTAGACTTCCATCTACAGAATTCCAGGGTTGTTACTACAGCCCATTATCGCCACGCATTGTTCCTCAGCTTTTCCTGTATTCTCTACATAACATTAAAAAATGTGGAGACTCGGCTGGGCGCGGTGGCTCACGCCTATAATCCCAGCACTTTGGGAGGCCGAGACGGGTGGATCACGAGGTCAAGAGATCGAGACCATCCTGGTCAACATGGTGAAACCCCGTCTCTACTAAAAATATAAAAATTAGCTGGGCATGGTGGCGCACGTCTGTAGTCCCAGCTACTCAGGAGGCTGAGGCAGATGAATTGCTTGAACCCAGGAGACAGAGGTTGCGGTGAGCCGCGATCGCACCATTGCACTCCAGCCTGGGTAACAAGAGTGAAACTCCGTCTCAAAAAAAAAAAAAAGAAAAGAAAATGTGGAGACTCAGCTTATTTAAATGGGACATATTTAATGAGTAATCGTAACATCTATTCTCCTCCCACCCAAAGGGTTTTATTTTCTAACCTTTAGTCAATATCCTATTCCTGACAAAACTGTATCCTTGCAATGGTGCTCTGTACAGGACATACGGATTATAAGCACACAACATCCCCATTCTTTCCAAACAGACTTCTGTGGGGTTTCACCGTGTTGGCCAGGCTGATCTCAAACTCCTGACCTATTGGGAGCTGGCTGCTCCCAAGAGGTGTGGCCTGTTAAAACGGCGCAGATGGTTCCAAGGGCACCTAAGTGCATTGTGCTCTATGCATTGGTGGCAGTGTAACACAGGGCCAAAAGCTCAGGCCTGAACTCAGACCTGGTTTAGGTCAATCTCAGTCTGTCTGTGGTCTGAAGAAAGCTACTAAACCTCTCTGGGTCTCTTTTTTTGTTATCGGTAATATGGGAATAATCATAGTGTTTACCTCACAGCTTTACTGTGAACATAAAGCCTGAAAATGCTGAGCAGAGGACCAGTTACCTAGTAAGTGTCCAGTAAATAAACTAACCCACTTATCAACCATGGTGGCATGCATAACAGATAAATCCATCCATCAGGGCATGCATGACGGTCAGATCTACCAGAATACCCAAGAACTCTCTGAATGAGAAAGCCTGGTGGACATGGCCTGCTGTGGCCTGAGGACATGGGCTCTCAGCTCACCTCAGGCTGGCACTGGCCTCTGTATGAGAGGCCTAACCTCTGCCCTCACACCCTCCCACATGCCCATGTCAAGCTCCACAAGGTACCTGTGTCCTCTGGGGAGCCATAGGAGGGACTGCCCTGGGATAAGGTAGCCCAGCTTGAGTCCTCGTCACTGGCCGCACTGTTTCGCATGCCAAACAGGAGAATGGCACTCTTGCTGTGTTCCCGGGGGCCATCTGTAAGGGCGTGGGGCCCGGGAGGGGCCTCCACACTCTCCAGGGGCTCAGGCAGCCCTGGGGGAGAAGACAAGTCCTCCTCCTCCTCTTCCTCCTCATCATCATCATCTTCCTCCTCAGCCTCCCCTGCTGCCTTCTCCTCTCCCTCGTCTGGCCCCTGCTCTTGGGTGCTGATGATCAGGCCAGGTCCTCGTAGGCCTCGGTTGGCCGCGTTGTGGGCTGAGAGCTCCAACTCAGAGTACAGGTGTATCAGGCCTTTGGGGCCCAAGGGTGCCATCTCAGGCTCCTGGCTGGCCTCCTCCGCCAAGGTCAAGGTCACATTGCGATTCTGGTCACGGTGGGCCGTGGCGGCCCGACGGAGCTGGTTCTGGCCCTCTTTTAGCCACTTGGCATTGGCAGGGCCTGGCTCAGGCCCACTACCCTCCCCCATGGCGCTTCGCAGTTCTTTGGGTACCACAGCTGTGGCCTGCAGCTTGGCGTTGAGCAGCTGGTTGTGGGCAGCGTGCAGGGGCAGCGGTAGGCTCAGTGCAGGGCCTCCGTGGCTGTTGGCATTAATGGCCGACTGGCTCAGTGACGACGGAACAGACATGGCCTTGGCAGCTCCTGCGGAGTAGGGAGGAGAGACGCTGTTGAGCCTCTGGTCCAGGACAGCAACATCCCTGCTTCTGCCCCAGGGCTATGCCCTGTGCCTCCTCATCTCCCTGTACTAAGCAGACTAACACCCATGGCTCTCTATCCCATGAGAATGACTGGGCTCAACCTCTGTCCCAGCACCATCACCCCCATCACAGGCCAGGCCTAGGTCTGAGGCCCACCGCATCCCTATATCCCCTGCTCTGAGCTTGCTGGGATGGCACAGCTGGCGCCTGCTTGCCCTTGGTCCCACCAGCAGGGCATCCACACAATGGCTCTCTGTGTCTCCCCACCCAGCAGCTCATCCACCCGGGGCTTTCTGTGCCAGGAACACCACTAGCATGGGACTGGCTCATGTGTTCTGGACACTGATCACTGACTGCCCCTCTCCTCCTGCCACACTTCCGTCCCAAGCCCCACCACTGTAAGCTCCCCAGGCTGTGTTCCCATTGTCATAAATCACTCAGCTCAACCAGCCCCCATGCCCACACCATATCAAGGACTGTGAGGACAGGAGCAAATAAGCTGCAGAACCAGCCCCACAGGACATAGCACTGGAGGGCAGGTCACAGAGGGCAGGCCCTTGGCCACAATTCATGGCTCCTCTGGCCAGCTGAAGCTACATCTTGGTGACAATTTCCCTATTTCCATAAGTAGCTCCCATTGGGCATTGGTCCCTCTGCCAGCCCTTATAATGCCCTGTCCTGAGTCACTATAGGAGCCTTTCCCCTGGGTCCTCCAGCCTTTCAAATCTTTGTTTTGTTTTGATTTGAGACTGAGTCTTGCTCTTGTCACTCAGGCTGGAGTGCAATGGCACGATCTTAGTTCACTGCAAACTCCGCCTACTGGGTTCAAGTGATTCTCCTGTCTCAGACTACCGAGTAGCTGGGATTACAGGTGACCACCACCATGCCCAGCTAATTTTTGTAGTTTTAGTAGAGACCAGGTTTCGAGATGTTGGCCAGGCTGGTCTCGAGCTCCTGACCTCCTGATCCACTCACCTTGGCCTCCCAAAGTGCTGGGATTACAGGCGTGAACCACCATGTCCAGCCCAGCCTTTCAGATCTTTGACCAAATGTCACAGCCTCAGTGAAACCTTCCTTGAACACCCATTTTAAAACCATAGCTACCTCGGCCCCTCCTCAGCAACCCCTAAACGCTTCACTAGCGCCTGTCACCATGTGACAAGCCAATTTATTGTTTACTTTGTCTAATGATTGACTCCTTATGACTATAATTTATAATTCCCATGTTGAGGATTTTGCCTTTTCTGGTTAAACACAGTATGCCTAGTGCCTAGCATAGTCCTGGCACAGAGCAGGAACTCCATTCATATTTGTTGAATGAATGTATGAATCAGTCCACATGTCCTCAAGGCCTTGCTTCGGCACCTCCTCTGCCAGTGTCAGAAAACACTTTGGTTACGTTACTGTGCCTCATGGTGCCCCAAACAAACTCCACCTGCCTTTCAGGTAAGAGGACAGCTCCCCCTCCCGAGCCCTCCCTCCAACTGCCTCCTCAGAGCCCTTCGTGGGTCAGCTTCTCCGAAATGCAACTGTTTGAGTCCCAGCTGTCCTTCCAGCCCGCCGCCCAGGGACCCACCCTCGGGCCCCATTCCATCCTCCCCACTCTCCCTGACCTTCCCACCACTCTGCTACTCTCCTCCTCGGACTCCCACGTTAAAGTGTTCTCTCCCTGGACCCTCACCACCCCCCTATTTCAGTTATTTCTCCCTGACCAACCACTGCCCACTTCTCTCTCATCCTGAGCCCTCTATGCAAGCCCTCCTGCAGACAGCCCCTACCACATTACTCCCTCCTCCCTCGATGGCCTCACTGATTCTCTCTTCCTACCTGACCCTTCCCCCAACACACAATTCTCCCTCACTGACCGTCGCAACAAACACTGCACTGCATTCTTTCTAATTCCCACTGTACAGTCCTTTCTCATTGATGTCTTGTCTGAGAGTTCCCTATCTCCCTGTTCCTGTGCTAAGGAGTTCTTTTTTCCCCCGACTCCCCGCTATCCCACTTCCCTCTGTGTCCTCAGCACTAAGCACAGGTGCTGCAGCTGCCTAAGCAAGGCTCACCCATCTCTCCAGGTGCTGTGCGCCCAGGTTGAAGTGCAATGGCGTGATCTCAGCTCACTGCAACCTCTGCCTCCCAGGTTCAAGCGATTCTCCTGCCTCAGCCTCCTGAGTAGCTGGGATTACAGGCACTCGCCACCACGCCCAGCTAATTTTTGTTTTTTGGTTTTTTTTTTTTTAGTAGAGATGGGGTTTCACCATGTTGGCCATGCTGGTCTCGAACTCCTGACCTCAGGTGATCCACCTGCCTTGGCCTCCCAAAGTGCTGGGATTACAGGTGTGAGCCATAGCTCCCAGCCTCATAGCTTACCTTTCCGTGTCTCTAGTTCCTCAGACCCTAGTCTGTAAAATGAAAAAGGTTTCAGTGCATGTGTCTGCCTCACGTGTAGCTGTTGATCTGCTCAGTGTGGCTCCGCCTGGCCAATAAGAAAACTCATGGCCAGTGGAATAAATGAAGAAAAAAATAGACAGCTCTGCCTCCTCCCAGAACCACAGTAATTTTCCAAAAATGGAAACCAGATTGTGTCACTCCTTGGTTCAGAAAATTAGAGGGCTCACCACTGCCTTTCGGATAATGTCTGCACTCGTCAGCAGAACAACCAAGAGCCCCCTTGAGCCAACTCCTATAACCTGTCAGACCTCCCCCCACCTGCCGCCTCCTTTATACCTTATACTCCAGCTACATGAAGTGTGTGGCAGATTCTGGAACATGTCACACACTCTTCAAGCCCTGGGTCTTTGTTTATACTGCTCCCTCAGCCTAGAATTCTGTCTTCCCTTGTGAGAACCTCTGCTTGTATTTCAAAACTAATCTCAGCGGCCACAGCTCTGAGCAGTCTTTCCCGTTCTCTCCCCACCCTCAAGTGACCATTCTCTCCTTCGTGTCTCACAACACCCAGGACCACATTCTATCAGAATATCTGAGATGGTGTCCTATTCAATTTCACATTCCCATTACCGGAGAGAGTATGCCGTGTGCTGCCACAGACTGGGCTGTCGCGCAGAAGGAAAGGAAGGATGAACAGGAGAGACACGGGGTGGGAGAAACTAAGAAGCTCAGAACTGGCTAGGAATAGGTACCAAGAAAGGCTGTGTGGCCCAATGGGCTGCGGAGGAGCAAAGAGCGTGTTTGGGAGGGTGTCAGAGAATGTCAAAGGGTCCCTGAGAGGGAAGTAAGATGGGACAGGAGTCCTGGAGAGGTGAGGGCTGAGATCTAGGAAAAGGGAGGGAGAGGGGTAGCTTAAACCAACATTTTGGCTCAGACAGTGTTCAAGAGTGGCATCTCCATGGGTTTCAGGAAGTAGAAGACTCCATGACTCTGCCATGCTCAGAGGACCTTAAGGATGGCAAGCCCTTCTCTGAAGCAGTGGTGTACGGAGCCAGATTTCTCAAAGGTCAGGCTGAGACCAGCCTCCTTGGCACTAGGAGATATAATCTGAGAAGGGTGCATGCGCTGTGAGGCTGAAACAGTGAAGAGCCAAGTTGACTGCAGGGCAGCCCCGCCAATCTGGTCACGGGGGCAGGAAGTATGAGAGGAGGACTGAGGAAACTCTGTTTAAGCGCTGAAACCTGAGCATCTAGCCTGAGGTAGTGTGGTCACCAATACCCCACTGCTCGAGGTCAAAAAGATAACTTCAGTCCAATTTTTTAAAGGAACACAACCTAAGCTCTCCCTTCTCATTGGAGTTACCAAAGGATGCAAAGAGCCAAATAGGTTCTGGCTCAAGGCAGGGAGCTAGGCAGGGGCCCCAGGGCAGGAACTGAAAGAAGTAGCCACTAAACCTGAAGATCCTGGTATCAGACCACAGGGGCAGGGGTTGAGTCTTGCCCAAAGTCAGGAGTCAGGTAATCTGACAGCTTACCATATGCCAGACACTGTGCTAGACACAGAGGAGAGTGATGAATAAAAAAGAAATGGTTCCTCCTCTGGAGGAGTTCTCAGTTTAGGGGGAAACAGCCATTGAACAACTCGTTATGACGCAGTGTAATACCAACATCTAGAACAGTGCCTGGCACTCGTAGCATTCCCTGTTTGTTTCCTGAATATTATGAAGGACGAAGAGCAGGACATTACAGGAACCTGGGGTTCACTACAGCCCAGACATCAGTGAAGGCCTGCCTGAGACTAGGACACAACTCTCTGTGGCCCATCCCTCTCAGAGGATGATCTTCCCTCCTAATTCACAGAGGAAAGGGAAGCCATCCGACTGGGGAACATCCTCAAACATAAAACCCAGCCAAACTTCAGGACCCATCCTTTCCTCTCCTTCCGAAAACCAACTGCCTCACCTATAATTTGGATTCTTCCTAAGATGTCTTTCCAGGAATTGTATACCACTGTTTATCTATTTTCTCCTCTATAATCAACCTCTCCTTCTCAATAGGACCCACTCTCTCCCAATCTAAGCTGACACTTCTCCAGAGCCACTCACTGCTCTTTCCTCCCCCATACAGGCAAACTTCTTGAGAGAGTTGTCTCACTCACTGTTGCCACTTCCTCACCTCCCACTCACTCCTCAACCCCTTCCAAGCCTGCTTCCACTCCCAACACGACTCAGTAACAGCTCCCACCAAGGTCAACATGACCCCTGTGTCATTCAATCCAACAGACACAGTCCTCATCTTGGGTGCCCTCCCAACAGCATCTGACCCCATGGATCTCTCTCATCCAGCCTCTCTCAGTGGCCTCCACACTCTCATCTCCTGGCTTACTTTAAACTTCTCATTACTGTTTGCTGGGTTCCTAGACTCCTTTGCTGGCTCATATTCTCATGCCCTGTTCTCTTTCTCGTCCTATAATTGATATAGGCATTCATTCACGTCCACAGCTTCAGTTATACACTGATGATTTCCCAATTCACACCTCCATTTCAGACCCCTCACCTGAGTTCCAGACAAGTACACTCAACTTTCTATTCAACACCCCCACTTGGATGTCTCAAGCTAATACACCCACTCATGTTTCCCACTCCCACACACTAACTGGTCCTCTTTCAGGATCCTGGCTCGTGGAATGATACAACCCATCCTATTCTGTGAATCTGAAGTAGGGGTACGTCCTTGACATGTCCTTCTCCTGCACTCCTTATGTTCAATCCATCCCTCTGATAATTTTCTCTCCGAGAAAAATTTCTAGACTTCATTAACTCCCCATATCCACTACCATCAAGGACAGAGACCTTAAGACAAAATTCTTTTTTTTTCTTTTTTGAGATGGAGTGCCAAGACCTCGGCTCACTGCAACCTCTGCCTTCTGGGTTTAAGCAATTCACCTGCCTCACCCTCCTGACTAGCTGGGATTACAGGCACACACCACCATGCCTGACTAATTTTTTCTACTTTCAGTAGAGATGGGGTTTTGCCATGTTGGCCAGACCGGTCTTGAAGTCATGACCTCAGGTGATCCGCCCACCTCGGACTCCCAAAGTGCAGGGATTACAGGCGTGAGCCACCATGCCCAGCCCTTAAGACAAAATTCTTGACGTGGCCTAAATTTCCTGCTCAGTCTGGCACCTGCCTTCCTCCTCTCTGCTCCTGGCTTTGGTCACTCTGCTCTGTAGCCTTAGTGGCCTTCTTCTGATCCCTCAAAGATATTACATGTTTTCTTTCTACAAGGTGTTTGCACATGATTCCCATGCTGCCTGGGACCTCTTCTCCTACTCTCTAAGTTGAATTAACTTCTACTCATCCATTATAGTTTAGTTCAAACGTCGTGTTCTCAGAGAAGCCATCCTGGACCCTTTCTCCCTATCCCCAAAACCAATTTAGCTGCTGCTCCTGGTGTTCTCAAGGCACCACACAGTTTTTCTTCATGGTATCTAGTACATTTGTAATGTTATTCTTATTTGATTTTTCTCCTAGATTGTCAGCTCCGAGGACCCATCTCTTTTGCTCACAATTATATCTTCAGGACCTAACACAGTGCCTGGTGTATAGTAGGTGCTCAAATCATATGTGTTGAATGAATAAGTGATTGGAAGCATTTTTTAAAGCATCACTCTGGGTGCTGTGTTGAGAATAAAGGGAGGTAGGCAAGAGGGTATGCTATTAAAGTAGTCAGGAAAAAAAAAAGGTGGTGGCTGAGATTAACTTGGGTGGCAGTGGGGAAAGAGTGAAATGAATGGATTTGAGAAATACTTAGGCAGTGGATGTGACAGAACTTGGTGAAATGAGATGCAGAGGATGAGAGGAGGGTTAATCTTGAGTCTTGCTCATGACTCCTGATTGGCAAATAGCCATTTCTGAGATTTGAAGGAAGAAGAGATTTGGAAGTAGGGTACAGAGAAAACCAGGGACGATAACTCAGCTTGGAATCTATAGGTTTGGAATTCCTGTTTGTCTTTCAAGGAGATGTCAAGAGGGCAGCTGGATATATGAGTATGGATTTCAGGAAAGAAGTCTGAGCTGGATATATATATTTGAGACTCATTAGCATATATATGAAATTTGAAGCTTTGGGAGTGAATAAAATATCTGGGGAGAAAGAACAGAGAATGAAAGAAGACAGCTCGGGACAGAGCCAAGAGCCTCACCAGCATCTAAAGAGAGGAGAAGGAAGCAAATGAGATTGAGAAGAGCAGACAATGCTGCAGGACAGAAAGCAGGAAAATGCTTCAAGGAGAGAGAACAGACCTCACGGAAGACTACTCAGAGGTAAAGAAGATAACAGCAAAGTGTCCACTGGAGTTCTCCACAAGGTCTCCAGTGACCTTGGCATGGACAGTTTCAGCGGGTGTCAGGGACACAGAGTGGAGTGATTTTAAGAATGAATGGGAAGTAAGGAAATGAATACAGCAAGCGTAGACTCTGAAGGGTGGAGAGAGCTAGGACCATAGGGGGAGGGGCTCAGAATGCAAGAGATACACAGGCAGATTCAAAACAGGTTAGGAATTGGCAGTGGGAAAACTGCTCCTAATGAGTGGTCCTGCCAGTGCTGGGCCCTGGCTGAGCTGGGGACACAGCCGCCCCAGGGCACACCCCTCGGTCGCTGAGGGCAACAGAATGCGGCTTGACAGATCTCAGGCCTGGGATCCCTGCTGGAATCGGCGGCGCGGCCGGCCAGCCCACCCCACCCCCAGGTCCCCTTCCCGGCCCTGGGCCTCCCCTCCCCCAACCTCCACCGCCCCTCGCTTCGCGTCCTCCATACCCTCCCCTAGTCACCCCGAGGGGCAGGAGGTAAAGGACAGCGGAGGGGGCGGTGTGAGGACCCGAGTGGACCCTGCGATGGGAAGTATGAGAGGACGGTCTGCAGGCGCACGGTGGGAGGGCGGCCCGGGGATGGGGGATGGGGCCCGGCCGGGAGACCCCGGCTACTGCGGTGAAGAGGCGTCAGGGTCCGCCGGCCGCTGGGGATCCGGACGCAGCCACCAGGGCTGGGCCGGGGCAGGGACAGCTCCTACCTGCGCGGCGAGGCCCCGGGCCCAGATGACGGAGGTGGCTCAGGCTGCGGGGTTCGGGCTCTGCCGCTGCTTCTCCATCACAACATCCCCCGCCCAGGAGCGCGCGGGCCGCGGGGCCGCGCCCCGAGCGGCGGAGGCGCGCGCAGGGGGAGGGGGAGGGGCGCCATCTTGGGGCGGGCGCGGGAGCGAGCTCGGCGGGCGCGGTACTTGCCGCAGCTTCCTGGGGGCCTGGCTCTGCAGTAGACCCTCTGCCCTCGGTGAGCCCCGCGGTCCAGCCCTCCCAGCAGAGATCCCTGCAGCCGCTTCCCTGGGACCCCCGCCTAGCACGGCGCCGTCCTCCACTGCGATGCCACAGACTCACCCTGCGCGCCCCCTAGGGCCCTGGCCCCGCACCCCCGCGGGCAGACGCGCGGGCCAAGCTGGAGCCCCGGTGGCGGTGGCGGTGCGGGGACCGCGGCCGCGCCCGGAGGGATTCCGGGGAGGCAGCCTGCTCCGCTCCTGCTGCACCGCTCCCCAACGTCCTGGTGGGGAGGCTCTGAGGATACCGCGTTGCTGATAATAGCTCCTATTTATTGACCACTTACACCGGGCCGGGCTCTGTGTTAAACCGTTGATGCGCATTAATCTTCACATTGGCCCTGTAAAATCACCAGATTTTTATCCTTATTTTTCAGAGGCTGATGCTAAGATTAAGACAGGTAAAGCGACTTGCCCGCAGTCACAGTGACGAATTCAGACTGGAGCTTCAATGATTCTTGACACTGAACTACCCCTGCTGCTGAACATAAAACTGACATCAAGGCCTGGAAAATGTCAAGAATACATTTCTCCCCTGTGGAAATTCACAGGGAAGGGGAGATTGTGAATGAAAAGTGTAAAGATATAAAGAAAGACGGTGAGGTGCAATATTTACTACAGACCCTCCCTGGATAATAGAATACATCCCAGTGGTCAGATCAGTGAACCAGAGGCCATCAAGGATAATGAGGGGTTACATTACCATCCAGAAAGCCTCTAAATACTACCCCCTCTAAGGTGCCTAAAACTAAAGATATCCAAATCTTCGTCCTTTCGTTCTTTCTTTCTTTTTCTCTTTCAAGGCAGGGTCTCACTCTATCACCCAGACTGAAGAACAGTGGCAGGATCACGGCTTTATGAAGCCCCAACCTCCAGGGCTCAGGTTATCCTTCCAGCTCAGCCCCTGGAGTACCTGGACCACAGGCACGCGCCACCGCACCTGGCTTTTTGTATTTTTAGTAGAGATAGGGTCTCACTGTGTTCTCCAGACTGGTCCAGAACTCGTGTGCTCAAGCGATCCTCCCACCTCAGCCTCACAAAGTGCTGAGATTGCAGGCATCAGCCACCCCACCCAGCTTGAATTCATTATTACATCCCCCTTCATTAGTCATCTAAGGAGTTTCTCTGGGGTGAAAAAGAACGCTCTTCAACACACACACACACACACACACACACACACACCACAACAACAACAACACACATCCTATACTGGACACGGCTCCACTCCATCCATTTCAATGAATGACACCAACTACTGACTTCCCAATCCAGAAGTTTCAAGGTCATCTTTGAATATACTTTTATTTTACTTGAGGTAAATATAAATGTTTTAACTTTTTATTGTGGAAAATTTCAAATATATACTAAAGTAGAAAGAACAATATAATGAACTCTCATATACCTGTCATTCAGTTTCAACAATTATCAACTCATGGCCAGTCGTTTATAGTGATTTGGCAAATGCCTGTGATATATGAACCATGTATCAGGTCCCAAGCCAGGCCCTAGGAATCCAAAGATGAATCAGATTTGACTGTATCTCACCTGGAGGAGATGACATCTGACCTGGGTTCTTGAAGGATGAATAAGAATTACACAAAAGAACAAAGGTATCCTCATTCACTCATTCATTCGTTTTCTTTCATTAAATAATTACTATGTGTGAGGTACTGTTCTTGGTGCTAGCAACACGTCAAGAAACAAGATACAGTTCCGTCTCTCACACAGCTTGAAATTTAACAGGGGAAAGCGACGTTAAATGTGTAATTAGGAATGTGATGTATATCTTGAAGGAAATGTGTGAGTGGGCTTACACACAGGGAGCTATATGAGTGGGCTTAATTTGGCCTGGGAGGTTTAGGAGGCTTTCACAGGAAGTGACAAGTCAGTGAGGGAAAGAGATGAAGGAGCTAGAGGTCAGCCAGAAGAAGAGAAAAGTATTCTAAGTAGCAGGAGAAGTACAGGACACAGATTTCATGATGAGATTGAAGAGAGGAGTCTAATTAGTTAGGGATGCCCATGTGCAGTTCACATGGGCATCTTCTTTATGTATTTGACCCACATGCAGTCTTCCTGAATTCCTGGTGTCCTCTGAGGTCTGCAAAGCCTCCTGACCTATGTGGAATCAACCTGTGCTTGCCTCGGCCTCCCAAAGTGCTAGGGTTACTGGTGTAAGCCACTATGCCTGGCCTTTTCTGATGCTTTCTATGGTGAAGGAGCAACCAATAGCTTATGAACCACCTGAAATGCTGCATATAGTTCTGACCAATGCGAGTTCCTCTGAGGCAGCAGTCTTTAAAAATTATTACCTTGGAACCATCAGGAAAAATCTGAATTAGAAGCAAATCCATCTAGAGTCACTTTCGAAGAGCAGTGGCTTTATGCTATTTGGTTTGATAGTCTAGCTAATTAGCATTACTAGGCAGTTGGCACCCAAGCCACCTGTATGAAAGAACAGAGCTTTCATCTCTATTAAGCATAAAGGCACTTCTGGAATGAAGGCAGCTTTATCCTCCACTATATGTAAGCGCTGCCTTGATATTGTAATTTTTCTTACTATCAATCTGACAAACCTCTTTTCTTCTTGATGGTGGTTTTCATTTGGAAAATCTATAAGGAATAAAGTCTTCCCACATATTACATGAAGTAGAATTCACAAGTCAAATTCAAGACCTGGCAAAAACTTTCTCAATCTCGACACCCTTCTTCAACAGAACTATTCTTTTAGTGTGTTTATTTTTTTTCCCATTTATTTATTTTATTGCATTTTAGGTTTGGGGGTACATGTGAAGAACATGCAAGATTGTTGCATAGGTACACACGTGGCAGTGTGATTTGCTGTCTTTCCCCCTATCACCTACATCTGGCATCTATCCCCTTGCTGTCTCTCCCCAGCTCCCCACCCCCCACCGTCCCTCCCCTATTTCCCCCCAACTGACCCCAGCGTGTAGTGCTCCCCTCCCTGTGTCCATGTGTTCTCATTGTTCAACACCCGCCTATGAGTGAGAACATGAGGTGTTTGATCTTCTGCTCTTCTGTCAGTTTGCTGAGAATGATGGTTTCCAGGTTCATCCATGTCCCTACAAAGGACACAAACTCATCGTTTTTGATGGCTGCATAATATTCCATGGTGTATATGTGCCACATTTTCCCTGTCCAGTCTATCGTCGATGGGCATTTGGGTTGGTTCCAGGTCTTTGCTATTGTAAACAGTGCTGCAATGAACATTCGTGTGCACATGTCCTTATAGTAGAACAATTTATAATCCTTTGAATATATACCCAGTAATGGGATTGCTGGGTCAAATGGAATTTCTATTTCTAGGTCCTTGAGGAATCGCCACACTGTCTTCCACAATGGTTGAACTAATTTACACCCCCACCAACAGTGTAAAAGTGTTCCTATTTCTCCACATCCTCTCCAGCATCTGTTGTTTCCAGATTTTTTAATGATCGCCATTCTGACTGGCGTGAGATGGTATCTCAATGTTGTTTTGATTTGCATTTCTCTGATGACCAGCGATGATGAGCATTTTTCATATGTTTGTTGGTCTCATGTATGTCTTCTTTTGTAAAGTGTCTGTTCATATCCTTTGCCCACTTTTGAATGGGCTTGTTAGTTTTTTTCTTGTAAATCTGTTTTAGTTCTTTGTAAATTCTGGATATCAGCCGTTTGTCAGATGGGTAAACTGCAAAAATTTTTTCCCATTCTGTTGGTTGCCGATTCACTCTAATGACTGTTTCTTTTGCTGTGCAGAATCTGTGGAGTTTGATTAGGTCCCATTTGTCTATTTTGGCTTTTGTTGTCAATGCTTTTGGTGTTTTGGTCATAAAGTCTTTGCCTACACCTATGTCCTGAATGGTTTTGCCTAGATTTTCTTCTAGGGTTTTTATGGTGTTAGGTCTTATGTTTAAGTCTTTAATCCATCTGGAGTTAATTTTAGTGTAAGGTGTCAGGAAGGGGTCCAGTTTCTGCTTTCTTATGAAGAAATGGGGGTCTCACTCTGTTGCCCCAGCAGGTCACGAATTCCTGCACTCAAGCAATCCTCCCAGTTTGGCCTCCCAAAGTTCTGGGATTGCGGGTGTGAGCAACCAAGCCTGGTTCAACAAAACTATTCCAACAACTACCCAGAAGAGCAAAGGGTGAGAAGAGAAAAGGCCTGAGAACTGAACTCTGGGAATGCCAGTGTTTAGGAGCCAACACAGAAAAAGACAGTCAAGAAGAAAGCTGACAATAACAGAAGGGTAAGAGGAGAATCAGGAGAGAGTAATGTCATGGAAGAAATCCATGAGAGGAAAGACTTTCAAGGAGAGAGAAGTGGTCAACATCAAATGCAGCAAAGATTTCCAATAAGGTCAAGGAAAAAAGAAAGGTATCCTTTGAATTTGGCAACATGGAGGTTATGGATCTCCATGATTTGATCTGTATTAGCAGAAAATGGAGGCAGAAGCCACAGTGCAATGAATGGAGCAAATGGAAAATGAGGAAATAGAATAAATAAGTGCAGAGCCCCCTTTTGAGAAATTTGGAAGAAAGAATAGACAGTAGCTGCAAAGGGATGTGAGATTCTCCTACGTGAATCCTTGAAACAAAAAAAGATTCAGTTTTTGCAGTATGGAGGTTCCTCAAAAAACTTAAAATAGAGCTATTATATGATCCAACAATCCCACTGGTGGGTATATATCCAAAGGAACTGAAATCAGTATGTTGAAGGGATACCTGCATGCTCAGGTTTATTATTTATAATATCCAAGACATGGAATCAACCTAAGTGTCCACCAATGGATGAATGGATAAAGAAAATGTGGTTACAGACACAATGGAATACTATTTCATCTTTAAAATTGGGGATATCCTGTATTTGTGACAACATGGATGAACCTGGAGGACACTATGTTAAATTAAATAATATAGACACAGAAAGACAAATGCTACATGATCTCATTTATATGTGAAATCTAATAAAGTTGAACTCATAGAGGTAGACAGTGGAATGGTGGTTGCCAGGGGCATGGGGATGTGGGAGGAGGTGGGGATGAAAGGGAATGGGGAGTTGTTGATCAAAGGGCACAGTGTTCCAGGTAGACAGGGGGAATAAGTTTCGAGATCTATTAAACAGCAAGGAGACTAAAGTCATTGTAATGTATGGTATATTTAAAAATAACAAGAAAAAAATAAAAATAAGAGAATAAATTTCAAATGTCTCACCATAAAAAATTATAGGTAGGGCCGGGCATGGTGGCTCACGCCTGTAATCCCAGCACTTTGGGAGGCCAAGGCAGGCAGATCACTTGCAGTCAGGAGTTCAAAACCAACCTGGCCAACGTGGTGAAACGCTGTCTCAAAAATAAATAAATAAATAAATAAAAGTAAAAATAAATTATAGGTAGGTGAAGTGAGGGATATGTTAATCAGCTTAATTTAATCATTCCACATTACATACATATATCAAAACATCACATTGTACCCCAAAAATGTATATTATGATTTTCAATCAAAAATAGTATTAATAATAAAAAAGGTAATTGAAAAATAAAATGAAATTCTCTGGTAAAATGAATTTCTTGAGTAAAATAAAAGATTCTATTTTGTCTTTATTTAAAAAGATGGTAGAGACTTGAACATTGGTGTAAACTATTAAAAGATACCAGTAGAGGCCGGGCGCGGTGGCTCACGCCTGTAATCCCAGCACTTCGGGAGGCCGAGGCGGGTGGATCACGAGGTCAAGAGATCGAGACCATCCTGGTCAACACGGTGAAACCCCGTCTCCACTAAAACTACAAAAAATTAGCTGGGCATGGTGGCGCGTGCCTGTAATCCCAGCTACTCAGGAGGCTGAGGCAGGAGAATTGCCTGAACCTGGGAGGCGGAGGTTGCGGTGAGCCGAGATCGCGCCATTGCACTCCAGCCTGGGTAACAAGAGCGAAACTCCGTCTCAATAAAAAAAGATACCGGTAGAGATGATGAATTTGAAAAAAAAAAAAAAAGATGAGAAATCAGGAGATTCTGGAGGTCATGAGAGAGCGTGGGATGAAGGGTTCACATAGGAGAATTGGACACCTTGCCTTCACAGACTGAAGGAAGAGGGGTGAGGATGGGGTGCATGTTGGACAAAAGGTGGGAGCAGGGCAGAGGTTGAGCTATTTCATACCTAGTGATATCAATATTTTTAAACTCTTTAGCTGAAGAAGAGAAGGAAGTTTGGGTGGGGAACAAGAAAAACTTCATAAAGTAAGTGTTATCCCGTCATGAACATCTGTTGTTGCCATTACTATCTGTCCCGTAACCCTTCCCCCTTTTACTGGTAATAGTACATCTGTTTTCTTCGGAGACCCATCCCCTCCTCACTCTTTGTCCATGTGGTTCAGGTGGGAATCATCGTAGTCCCACATTCCACTTCAGTGGTATGTTCCTAACCCAGGATTGGCCTATCTGAGTTAAAGTGATCAATTCAGAGATAGGGACAGGACAAAATTTGAGCCAGTGAAAAATCAGACCCAGGAACTTTCCTGGAACTATTGGATAAGAGGTGCTGATAGAACAGAAGCCTGAGGGACAACCTGCCACAAGGAAGGATGAACCTTCCTAAGAATGAAGCTAACTCAAAGAAAGCAAAGCAAGGGATAGAGACAGATGCCTAACAATGTCAATTTAACCCCTAGATTTACCTTTTCCATGAAGTTGAAATCTGCCCATAGATTTTTTTTTAGCTCTTTAAATCAATAAATTCTCTTTTTGCTTACATCACTTTAAGTTGGATTTTTTTTCTTTTTCTTTTTCTTTTCTTTTTTTTTTTTTTTTGAGACAGGGTCTCAATCTCGCCCAGGCTGGAGTGCAGTGGCAGTGGTGTGACCTCTGCTCACTGCAACCTCTGCCTCCCGGGTTCAAGCGATTCTCCTGCCTCAGCCTCCAGAGTAGCTGGAATTACAGATGCCTGCCATCAGACCCGACTAATTTTTTGTATTTTTAGTAGAGATGGGGTTTCATCATGTTGGCCAGACTGTTCTCAAACTCCTGACCTCAAGTGGTCACCCGCCTTGACCTCCCAAAGTGAAGGGATTACAGGCGTGAGCCACCATGCCTGGCCTAAGCTGGATTTTATTACATGCAACCAAGAGTTACAATGCATGCGAATACACATAGCAGATATTGTCTATTGGTGCTCATTCCCACATCCACTTTTCTGTAATCTTCCCTATACCACCAGGGCTGGAAATCTGAAAACCACATTTCTCAGACTCCCTTGTCAGTTTGGTTCCAATTAGGTCTGAAGGGAAGAGAAAGGAAAAAGCCCTTCTGTTTCTGGCAGTGCTTCTGGCAACATCAGCAGCAATGGTTCCTGCCTAGCAAAAGTGAAGGTGGTTGCATAGCATCAGCAATACAAACTCCAATAGCATCAGTAGCTGGTACAGATTCATGGCTCCAGCTTTTTGATCTTTGGGTGATAACTTTTCTCCTGTTTGCTCCTCTAAATCCAGATTGGTAGTAGCTTCCTGATCTTTGGGTACCTGCTTTCCCTGGTTATGTGTCTCTGAACCTTCTTGCAACTTTGTAACAAACTCCTTGCATTAAATCTTTCTCTACTTGGATCTCTGGAATGGTTTCTGTATTCTTACTGAAAACTGAGTGATAAAATACACATTCTTATTTTCATACTCATATACATCACGCACACACAAGAAGCTGAGAAGTTCTCAAATCTAAGCAGTAAGTGGCTTGGCTGGGATTGAAGTTCAGACATATCTGACTCTAAAGTTCTCAAACTTTCTCTGACCTATAGTTTGTTTGTGTTGTTTATTTCATTTTTAATAGAAAGTATTGTCAAGAAAGTTGTTCAAATCATCTTTTTTTTTTTTTTTTTTCAATGAAGACAGTTTTCTCTGTCATCCCAGCTGGAATGCAGTGATGCAATCATAGCTTACTGTGGCCTCAAACTCCTGGGCTCAAGTAATCCTCCTGCCTCAGCCTCCTAAGTAGCTGGGACTACAGACATATGACACCACACCCTGCTAATTATTTTTATTGTTTGTAGAGACTAGAGTCTTGCTTTGTTTCCCAGGCTGCTCTTGAACTCCTGGCTTCAAGAGATCCTCCCAATTCGGCCTCTCAAAGCACTGGGATTACAGGTATAAGGCACTGCACCTGACCCAGATAATCAATCTTGATGTTTAATTCGGGTGGGAGAAAAATAGCTTTGGGGGAATGGAAAACTGAGAGTAACAAAGTCAAAGTGCAGGAATGTGGGTGTGAAGTGAGGGAGGCAGAAGATAAGAGGTCACATTCACAAGAGAGATACTGGAATTTAAGGAATTTCTTCAACAGGTGGAGCAACTGTGGGTTAAAGTTGTGGCCATAGTAATTGGGTACTGGTGTGGGGACATCAGTCTGCAAAGCCTTTCAGCAACTGAGAGAATATAGGAGGCTGGTAGATGATGGCCATTGGAATAGTAGGGAGAATGATATGGCTTACATCCATGATGCTGAAGGAGAAGGAATTTAACAGCATAAAAATGGGGAGAATGGTGCAGACGTGCTGATACAGCTTCTCATCCATTGGGGCAGCTACAGGGGAGGAAAGAGGGGCCTTGGGGTAGAGCCTGTTCTCAAGGCTGGAGGTAAAGACAGAGATTCTCGTACCCATGGAGTACATAAAGGACATAGGGAAGCTTGTTAGCCATGGAGTGTGACTCCGAAAAGGTACCATGGAAAATCAGAGAAGAAGAGGCATGATGATGAACCGGGAGGGAAAAGGGGCCATAGAACAGTCTGAAAGTGAGATTGGGCCGGGTGCGGTGGCTCACGCCTGTAATCCCAGCACTTGGGAGGCTGAGACGGGCGGATCACAAGGTCAAGAGATTGAGACCATCCTGGCCAACATGGTGAAACCCTGTCTCTACTAAAAAATACAAAATTTAGCTGGGCATGGTGGCACGTGCCTGTAGTCCCAGCTACTCGGGAAGCTGAGGCAAAAGAATCACTTGAACCTGGGAGGTGGAGGTTGCAGTGAGCCAAAGACCACGCCACTGCACTCCAGTCTGACACCTGGTAACAGAGTGAGACTCTGTCTCAAAAAGAAAAAAGGACCAGCGCGGTGGCTCACACCTATAATCTCAGCACTTTGGGAGGCCGAGGCGGGTATATCAGGAGGTCAAGAGATCAAGATCATCCTGGTCAACGTGGTGAAACTCTGTCTCTAAAAAAAAAAGAGAGAGAGGGAGAAAGTGAGATTCCTCTCTCCCTCCCCTTCATATTCAATCCATCAGCAAGTTCTATAGACTATGTCTTCTAAATATTTTTGATCTGCCCACTATGCTTCACCATTCCCATGTGTCCAGGCCCCATGATCTGCCAGATTAACCACAGCACCAACCTCCACAATGATCTGCCCACATCTGCGGAGGTCTTCTTTCACCCAGTATCCACTCTGCTATAATCAGAGAAATCTTTCAGAGAAATGTAAATCTCATCACCTCACCTTCTTCCTTCTTGTCTAAAATCCCTCAGTAGGTCTCCATTGTCCCCAAAAAAGACAATATCCGTGCTTCCTAGACTGACATGGAAGGCCTCCTGCAAACAGGTATGTGCCTGCCTCCCCCTCCAGTCTCATCTCACCAGCCCCCGACACATCCCCTGTACTCCAGCCCTGTGGGGTTGGTTGCAGTTTGCACTCTTTGTTGTCTCTTTTCTCTATTCCTCTGCTCTTAATGCTCCCTGGTATGGTAATGCATGGCAGACAGTGAATATATATTTGCTAAAGGAATTGCATAAACTTTATTCAGCTTTTAAAATTCACCTGTTTATCATATATGAAGGCTTTCCCACCCCTTCATCATCCTAAGTATTGCTGGCTCCACTCTCCTTTGTATATTTAGTCTTACATTTTAGTGTCTATCTCACTTTATTGCATTTACTTGACGCTTTGTCTGTGTTCCCCTCCTGATTGTGACAGAATGGCAGATTCCTGAGGGTAGAATGGCACACTGCTCTGCACATAAGAGATGCTAAATGAATGAATGAAAGAAGCATGAGTTGGACCTTTTTATGGTCTGAATATTAACATCTTCCCCAAATTCATATGTTGGAACCAGATGTCACTAATGTGATAGCATTAGGAGGGGGAGACTTTAGGAAGTGATTAACTCACATGGGTTTCAACCTCATGAAAGGGATTAGTGTCCTATAAAAGAGCCTGAAGGGAGCTGCTTGTCCCTTCTCCACACAGCAAAAAGGTACATGAAGCAGAACAAATGCTCACCAGAACCTGCTGGAGCCTTGACCTTAGACTTTCCAGTCTCCAGAATTGTGAACAATACATTCCTATTGCTGATAGATTACCCACTTTAAGGTATTCTGTTATAGCAGCCTAAATTGACTGAAACAGTTTCTGGGAGTTCCTTGGAGACAAGCTAAAGGATTCCCTGCAAGAGAACAGGTGGGAGGAGAGGAGAAAGGGGAGACTTAGTACTCCCCGCCTTCTGTAAATGAGAGGAAGTTGACCATGAGTACCAGAGTTGCTGGATAACTGTTTAGACACCTCTAGACTCCCTGGCATGATGCAGCAGTGGCCCAAAATGTAGTACATGAACTTGATAAGGCCCAGACCTAGAACTCTGGCCCTGTCTCCGCCCTACTTAGACTAGCAGCCATCCCCATGAGGGGAGCCATCCAAGACACCATTAGGAATGGAAAGTAAAGCACAAGATGCTCCTAAGGAGTAGACCCACAGCCCTGCTACCTTCCCCCTAGCCTCTGTTCTCCACTCTAGCCAACATCGTAGTTAGACCCTAATCTGAGACACTGTCCCCCATCTCCCAGCTCTTGAGGCTGGAGCCACTCTATAGCCTGGCCTCTGAGTACAAAGCCTTGTGTGACAGTCAGAGCTTGTTAGCTACTATTCTACCCATCAAAGTCCCACAAGGCAAAGGGCTGCCAGGTTGGGAGGGGCTGACCCTAGATCACATGAGGTCATGAGCCACAGTCTGGGTCTACGTCCAGAGCCCCTTCCCAAGAGAATCCATGGGATGGGTTTGAGTCTATATTCATTGTTACTGGAAGGTGGGTGTAGTCTATCTATTTTACAGAAAAGGAAAATGAGGCTAGGACATGGAAGATCAGAGGAAGGGCCCTCTGCCGGAATCTCAGGCTATATTTTGAGCCTGAAACAAGCCAGCATCTAACCTCAGCTGGGTTGTAAAGGCAGTGGAGAAATAGTGTCTCATGTGAGACACAGCTACCTATAGTCTAGGCCCAATCCCCAGTTAAATAGTTGTCAGCAAATTTGGAACCCAAAGCCTTCATCAGTTTATGACCAGAAAATAACCAAGCACTGTAATCTCCTTGCAGATGACATTTTCTGGTCTACATAGTACAGATATCCAGGAGGCTAATTGGGTAGGCTCCTGAGGCTCCAGCAAGACTCCCAGGGGCCGTGTTCTAAAAATGTGCTTCATGTTGCCAGGTCTCTAAGTCATTCTTTCTCCTCTCTCTCCAACTTGTCTCTGACACACAGCTAGTGTGTTTCTGTTTCCCCACTTCAACTTCATTCCACTTGTCATGCCTGACTCATGGCAACCCAAGCCATGAATGATGTTACTTGAATCACCCGGAACCACAGTTTGAGGTCCCCCAGATTGGAGCTCTCTGAGCCTATCCTCTTTGCACGTGCATACCTGCCCCAGGCCCTGTTGTTTCTGATGCCTTGGGACTGGGTTGTGGTCATCTGTCAGCAAGTTGGATCAGAGTCCTAGCACCACCTCTTGCTGTATAAACTCAACTGTTCTCTTCCTACTCTGGTCCTCTTTCCCCCCACTATGTGCAGATAGTTTGCAAAGAGCCAGTTTATGATCTGGACCTGAGAATCATCTATGCAGAGATGAGGTTTGCTCCTTAGCCCTCCCCTCCCTTGTTTCTCACAGCCTTGTTTGAGCTCAAGAGCCTCAAAAGAGAAGTTGCTAATTTTTCAACTCAAGGAAAGAAGTAAGATTCTTTTACAACCAAGGTCCCTTGATTCAAGCAAAGAAGCAATCTGTCTTTATTATGAGGAACTGGGTAGGTGGGGCCAGGCCAGACTCATGTCAGAAGGCCCCTCAGTGAGTGCAGCCTAGGAGACTGGCCACTTTCTGGGGCTGCGGACAGGTCTTGGCTGCATTCAGTTTCTCCACATCACTGTAGCAGTACAAATTGGGGCCATGGATGAGGTACAAACTGGGACCATTGGCGGAACATGAATTAGGGCCAAGGGACTTTTCCACACACAAGGCCCCATCCACCTTATCATGGGGCCAAGGAAGCTCTGTCCACATGGCTTGAGCTCCTGACTTCAGGTCCAGCCACCACAGCCGCCGTCCTGGGGAGAAGGCATCAAACATAGCATGAATTCCATGTCATGGGGATCCTGACCCAGGCCTTTGCATGCCCTGGTGGGGATCTATGCCACAGACAGGTAGCAGAACAGGCTGCCCCTTAGCACCCAGAAGCTCCTCACCTGCCATGATGTGGAGCCGAGAAGACCCAGGACAGATAAAGGCCGCATCCACAGACTCCAAGCTGATCCCAGGAGGGCTCCCGACTTCCTTCTCCAGCCGCTTTGGATAACCACTTACTAGGGTATAGCCTCCCTTTGTCAGGAAGACATATACCTGGGTGCCCTAGAGAACAAAGGACAGTAATCAATACAGAGCTGGATATGCTTGTCCCAGTCTCCACCTCAAGCCTCTCCTCCAATACACACCTGGACCAGATAGAGTTTTTCTTCCCAGGAAAAGGCAGCATCCACTGTTGAAGGACCCTGGGGCCACTGATGAGCAATGGGCCAG